TGCAGTTCGAGATTGAAGCGTCTATCATGACTGTGCTCGGTGTGCGTAAGCACTCCAACAGAATCATTGGTAGCGGTTCTGTGCACCGACTGTCCGAGCACTCTTGGTGTTCTTGGTACGTTCACCGCAGTCGGTGTGAACCGAAATCCGTAAAAGTCAGAGTCGAAAAGTACCGCCACACTTGACTCTTTTGAAAAATGAAAGCATACGAAAGCAGTTTGAGTGGTACTGCACTGCTAATAGTATTCAGGCTCAAGCCTTCCCTACAAAAAATGGTACTCATAGTATCAAACTCACGTGTGTACTGATTAGAATCAAACTAATCGCAGTTCCCTCTTCTTGACAATGTATCAGTGCCAGTTTGCAAGCATTTTGTTCCTGCTTTCAGTACCAACGTGTTCTTGTGCCTTTCGCTAGCACTTAGAGGGGAGGCTGGATGAAAAACCATCATAAATTTGATGATACCTGAATTGCCTGCACAGTCCAAAATCGAGCATGAAAACAGTGTGATGTTCGTTTGCTTCCGGTCGCCCAATCGCGAAATTGCCTGGTTTTATGTCTCTGTGCAGGAATCCAACCGTGTGCAAATGCTCAATTGATTCAAGGCATTGTTCCGCAATTTTCAGTGACGTGTTTAATGTGAATCGTTGTTGGGGGCGCTCAATTCTCAGATCCCACAAGTTCCGACCAACCTAAAGCTACAGGTCTGAAAACCTTTCAAGAATATGGCAAAAAAAAATAATTTCCAAACTAAAAAAAATTTTTTTCTAACATTTAAATGATCTCTGTGGTATCATTCAAATTTTACAATGTTTGGCCTTAAAAGAAATCTCCAACACTTATTCTCAGTTCTTTTCTAATTCTTTTCAAATCTTACCTGAATACTAAGAACTGCAAAAATCGGATCACTGTAAAGGTGTTCATTTGAATAAACAAAGGTTTTTTAACTACTGGAACAGTTTAAAGGGGCGGTGATACAAGTAAATGAAATAAAAAGACAAATAATTAAATAACTCATAAAAACCAGGTCAGAAAATGTACAAATTTGTATTTTGCGGTAAAACAGTTTGTCCGCCTTTGAGACACAATTTTTCCTCCCTATCACATGAAAATTGAAAAAAAAATAATGAATTAACTGGAATAATATGAAATGCAAACTACACTGCGCCTTCAGCAACATAAAGAAGAAAAACAAGAAGTATTTTGTTATTTAAGCAAATAAAAACAAGTCATACCCACAAGCCGAAAACCACCTGGTGTGGTAACTAGTGAAGTGGTACCTAGTTTTTGGCTCGCACTATTAGCAAAACGATCTGACTATCACATTTTTAGAACTTGTAAAGGAAAGCATGCGGGAATTAATGAGAAATTTGACTTTGTTAGGCACCAGTATAAAATAAATGGTCGAAAAAATCTACAGACCAGCAGATCTATGACAGAATTTTCAAATACGGATTTGAAATGTCGAAGTTTTGAAAATAGATTTTGCAAAAAAAATTTACTAGTTTCATGATAAGAAATCTGAAGCGATCAGGTTGCTTTCCTCGATCAATTATTTCGCAAAAATGCTTGCTTCCAAGCGTTTGCGCGCCACGTAACACCGTACAGTCCATTAAGAGAACCTGGCATTTTTAATGAATAAAATTTGTCGAATTGAACGACTTCCAGTTAGTTATAGCTGGCGATAAGTTATGCAACTCGTGTGCTAAACGTTGCCCTCCAATAGGATAACCAGTTACTCTGTGATTCGTTCATTCGTTTCGATAGTAAATTGGTACTGAGGTACGCCATGAAGTCAAACTTGTCATCAGCTTGTTTATAAGCAATTCACAAAAGAAGAAGCCATCAAAAGCTTTGCCAGCGACCGCTTGTTACTGGTTAATAAAGTAGCACACAAACTACTCCCGTTCACCTTGTTGAGGGGTTTTAGCTTCTAGATTTTGAGTAGCTTATCAAAAGAAATTTTCGCGTAACCGCAATTCCCCTCGGTACTCTGTAAAAAAAAACCTGTAGAAAGACTGGCTTAAAAATAATCAGACGAGAAGCAGTCAGTCGTTCGTTCAGTCATTTATTTCAGTCCAATTCTGCTAAAAAAATCCCAACGCTTTATTATTTATTCTAGTAATTTTATCAATTAATTTGTATTCTGGATTATTTTGAAATTCATTTTGTACAGTAGGAAGACCGAACTCCTTTCTTCAATTCCTGATCATTAATCAGTGAGCACAAGTATTAGTTTTTAAAATTATAGCTAAGGCCCAATCTTTCCAGAGCAGCCAAAAGAACGGGTACAGCAGTCAGAATGCAGGCACCATAACAGCAGTAGCGGTTGTCGCAGACGACTAAATAATAGCGGCTCAAGTTCCAGTTACAGCAATTTGAAATGCGCTAAAAAAGCTATCGCTATTCTAACAGCTTCTCGAAGCATGTCGTGCACAATTGCTAGAGAAATCCTGTCGTTGAGATCCCTGCGCTGCAGTTATCGCGCAAGCAGCTTAGGCAAACATAAGCATGCGGAAGAAGTGAAAAAATTTATAACATTCGGTTGCTCTCTGAAAGACAGTTAAAAAGAAATATGCGCTGTTTAAAGAGGAGCAGGATGGCCTACTCGTTTCCTCACATCCATAAGTTCACATTTCATTGCAAAAACAGCATTGTCGGCAAGACGTTTTATTTCATAGACAGCGCCGAAGCCACCTTTGCCAAGCAGTTTTATCGTCTAAAAATTTAGCAAACCTTGTGCATTCCCATGCATTCTGATACGTTTTCGGCTTGTGGACAAATCCCCGTAGCCCTACTGGCAGGGATATCCACCACACTGATTGCCGGAGTGATCTTGATATACTTTGACAGTTTGCAAGATTTTGCGAATTTTCTTCGACAACAAACAAGGCAATTCCGCGTAGCAGAGAGAATTCGAAATTAATAGGAAGAAGATCTTTGAAACCCAATCTCATGTCGCTTCTTTACTCCCACTAGAATAATTGCTACCATCCAATGAGACACTTAAAAATTATTCTTATTTTTTTCTCCTCTCTTCTTTTGTGTTTGTACATTACTTTCTCTTTTACATACAAGTAAGCCCGTATTTTTAATGTGAAAGTGGTCCATGCCATATTCCTTGCTCCACTCCCGCGTCCTCAACCATAACTCGCTTTGCCTTGTTTGCCTATTTTATGTGATAACATTACCACTACCTCGTACTCGGCTTTCTTTGTGATAACGCTTTCGCCTGGCTGCGGCAATTTCTCGCTGAGTTTCTTGTTTGTCATGTGCTGAAAACTCAGACAGTCTGGCAAGTAATTAATTGCAGGATGCTGCAGAAACTCTTCTGAGTAACTTTTTTGATCATTGCACATCGATTTATCAGTGAAGACTCTTTTACATACTTTTAGAATATCGTATTTATCGAGAAGCCTCGACCGAAGCATTCCATGTCAACTGGTTCATTAAACTAACAAAAGTACAAATGGTCAAATTTCTCGCGAACTCCCTTATATAGCATGGACCTGCAGCTGATCAAAATATCAAAGTAAGCACCACCGAACAATTTGCACAAATGCAAATTTCGTCACAGATTAAAAGTTCATGGTTTTGGCTGTCACTGTGAATGGAAATTGGAGTGTAAAAGCAACGTTTTATACGTATAAGCACAAACGTTCAAGTATGGAAATCACTGGCGAAGCGCACAACGGTGGCCAGTAAAATCGCGCGTTTTTGTATTATTTCGTGCTGTAATAAGACCGCTTGGAAACCGATTGGCTAGCATTTGTGACATACTGATTCTCGAAGTTCAAGAAATTTTACAACTGCATGGTACGTGGACAGCGAACATCCCGTTAAA